CTGTTCAACACGCTTCCGCTAAACATAAGGGGCATAACTGGCAAACCCCCCCCCCCCCCACAGTGTTCAAGAGAGAACTGGATAAGCACCTCCAAAGGATACCTGATCAACCAGACTGTGACTCATACGTCAGGCTGCGAGCAGCCACGTCCAACAGCCTGGTTGATCAGTCCAGCAACCAGGAGGCCTGGTCGACGACCGGGCCGGCGGGACGCTAAGCCCCGGAAGCACCTCATGGTAACCACTTGGACAGGCTGGTACTGGTACTGGGAGGGACACTAAGACCCACCGCTCCTTCCACCTGCTCAACACAACCGGAATTCTTGTTTCAATATGGATTTAATAAACATAAATATTTGATAGATATCCAGTCATGTCTTGAAGAATTATATTGAATTTGTTCCTACGACGCTCAAGACCTTTTGGGAGATGTAAACTCCTGCTAATACAGTATTAAAAGCCTGGATGGTTGATTGGTTGATGAAGATTGTTACCCAAGAAGTGACACGGGCATGAATAACCCCGTAACCTAGAGGGTGACTGTTCAGTGAAGTAACAGCTGCTGTTTTGCTTAACACAATTTTTTGATAAATGTTATTAATGACGTTACTCAGCCCTCCCCCCCCCCCCTCCCGTGGTGGTGACCTTCACTCTTGGGAGACAAGACGCTGCCTCCTCCTCCTCCTCCCTCTTGAGCTGAGTGCTGAATACTAATTACGTGTTCTTGGCGACTGGCCTATTCTTTAGTGGGGAGCCTGGGAACGTGTCTGGTGGAGGGTTACGCGCGCACGCACGCCCGCACTCAAGGACGCAGACAGCCACCCAACTATCACAATGTTTAGTCGTAACAATTTACACACATTACAGTAAGGGCTGGACTAGCCAGGTGTATAACATTCTAAATCATACATTTTGGCACAGAGTGAGTGAGGCGGGTGACGGGTAAACAGTGTGTTACCGTCAATCACTAGCACGGGAGACATCTCCCGTCACGCAGGGTGCAGTCGCACCTCCACAGATCTCCAGTATCAGCTCTTGATACTGGTAATGGCTCAAAAGGGCCACCACTTACGGGCTATTCATGCCCGTGCCACATTTTGGGTGGCTTAATCTTCATCAATCAATCAATCAATCAATCAATCTCGAGTATTGACGCTACAGATTGGTTGAGTAATGCTGCATGTGTTCCTCCACCTACTGCCCACTGAACACTGATCCTTGGGCAATAGTTGGTGCTAATCTTGCCAGAAAAATCCCACAGACTCAGACACACTAACACATATCTCTCGGGCAGCTATCCAAACTCTCTTCTCCTTTCACCAGTCAGCCCGGCAGATGTTGTGTCCATCATACACTCTAAAAACCATGCCAGGGAACACCAGTGAAATTCCGTTCATTATCTACAAGAGCGCCTCCCATGCCCTTGCGCCACCCATAGCTCTGCTGTTCAACAAATTTATAGTGTGTCATACCTTCCCTGATATCCTTAAAAAAGCAAGTTATGCCAGTCCATAAAGGAGGCAATCCGGCGGACATAAACAATTATAGACCAATATCATCTACCCATTCTATCAAAAATATTTGAAAAAATTATCTACAAACAGCTCTATTCCTACCTCGTAAAATTCGACATACTCAGCCAATGCCAGTTTGGCTTCCGGTCCCAAAAGAGCACCAATGATGCAATCATTAGTCTCCTTGACGTAATCTACTCAGCCCTTGACAAAAATGAGTTTCCGATTGGACTCTTCATTGACCTAAGAAAAGCCTTTGATACTGTTAATCACAACTACCTTTTACTTAAACTCCAGCATTATGGAATCCGAGGCCTTGCCCTGGACTATATCCGATCCTATCTTAGTGACAGACACCAATGTGTAACCATCAATGATACAACCTCTTTCACTCTACCAATAACCGTTGGAGTGCCACAGGGCAGCATCTTATGACCTTCTATTTCTTATATATATCAATGATCTGCCTAATGTCTAATATTCTTCAACCTATATTGTTTGCTGATGATACTACCCTCATCTATTCAGACCCCAACCCACATACACTAAATAATGTTGTGAATAATGAATTAAAAAAAGTCCACTTACGGATGTCAGCTAACAAACTAACACTAAACATAGAAAAGACTTACTACATCTTATTTCGAAGCAAATCATCGAATGCAATTCAGCTACAGATAGACAACATTAACATCAGTAATAAAATTGATGGAAAGTTTCTTGGCCTATTCCTAGACAAGAGACTCAACTTCAAATGTTGTGAATAATGAATTAAAAAAAAGTCCACTTACGGATGTCGGCTAACAAACTAACACTAACATAGAAAAGACTTACTACATCTTATTTGGAAGCAAATCATCGAATGCAATTCAGCTACAGATAGACAACATTAACATCAGTAATAAAAATGATGGAAAGTTTCTTGGCCTATTCCTAGACAAGAGACTCAACTTCAGCACCCACATTCAACACATAACTAAGATAGTCTCTAAAACAGTTGGTATACTCTCCAAAATAAGATATTATGTTCCTAACTCTGCTCTCCTCTCACTATATTATGCACTAATCTATCCCTATATTAATTATGGTATCTATGCATGGGGGTCTACCACCGCAAACCACCTTAAGCCCATCAGAATAATAATAAACTCTGCTTCAGACAACACTCGGCTCCCTTGTTTAAATCCCTTAACTTGCTGAATATTAACTCCCTCCACACATTCTCTTGTCAACTACATTTACAAAACCCTGTTCTTAAATGCAAACCATGCTCTGACACTCTCCCTGGACAGATGTAATAGGACCCATTATCACCACACCAGAAATAAATATCTCTGATATCCCCAGGGTCATTCAAGCTGTCATTGCAATCATTCTGAGCTACCTATGTGCTTTAATATACCTACAATTTTTCTCTCTCCTTTTATTTTTTTTTCATGCTATGTAACTGTTATCATTTTTATAAATTTTGCAAGTATTTACCTACTTATAAGTTTCTTAGATTAAGGACCTGCCCGAAACGCTGCGCGTACTAGTGGCTTTACAAGAATGTTATTACTATGCTATGTATCCTCACAATCCCAATGTACCTTCTTGTATATAAATAAATAAATAGAGAATCGTTGATCGATCGACGTTGTGATCTGGCGAGATGATATGGGTAACGTTGTAATGAATAACATATGTTTCTGATTATTAATTATCTGGAGAGTAGTTTAGGTGTGAGTGGTGTACTGGCCGCGGGCAAGTTGGTGTGATAGTGGCCAATTTATTGTGCACCCCATACTCATCCTGTGAGCGGTAGCGCAAGAAAGGTACCAGAAGCTGGTGAGTTATCCTGCCTGTCTAACCCCCCAGTGACTTGCGCTCCTCACAATACAATCTGCCCATAGTAGGAAAGCAACATGTCAAGGATTTGTGAATAATGATGTCTGACGACCTAACGTTTAGGGAGCATAACCAAGCAAATATTGCGTCAGCCAGAAAAAAATTATCGGATGGATTACGAGAACTTTCAAATCCAGGGATTCTATCACAATGGTTGTTTGTACTTTTCAAGTCACTTGTGTTGTCCCATCTTGAGTACTGCTCAGTACTCGCTTCCCCCTTCAGAGCAGGAGAGATTGCTGAAATAGAGGGAATACAGAGAACATACACGGCATACATAGACGCGATAAAGCGCCTAAATTATTGGGATCGTCTCAAAGTTCTCCAAATGTACTCACTAGAAAGACGAGAGAGATACCAAATAATATACACATGGAAAATACTGGAGGAACACGTACCAATTCTACACAGTAAAATAACAACGTACTGGAGTGAAAGATATGAAAGAAAGTGCAGAATAGAATCGGTGAAGAGCAGAGGTGCCATAGGCACAATCAGAGAACACTGTATAAACATCAGACGTCCGCGGTTGTTCAACATCCTCCCAGGGAGTATAAGGTTGCCGGAACACCCGTGAACATCTAAAAGAGAAAACTAGATTGTTTTCTTCTAGAAGTGCCGAATCAACCGGGCTGTGGTGGATATGTGGGCCTGCGGGCCGCTCCAAGCAATAGCCTAGTAGCCCAATCTCTCACAAGTCTAGCCTGGCCTCGGGCCGGACTTGGGGGAGTAGAACTACTCCCAGAACCCCATCAATCAAGTATCCTGTACAGACGCGTGGACTCACGCGGTGAATAGATAAGGGGGACAAGGACAGCCTCCATAAATTAGGAGAAAGTAGGACAAAAGAGGACGCAAGGTGGAAGCTGGAGAAACAAACGAGTGGAAGGTACGTAAGGAAATACTCGTACCCTGTGTGGTTGGTCGGCAGGTGGAATGCACCGAATGAAATTGTAGAAGCCAACGTCATCCACAACTTTAAAGCCAGATTCTACACAACATTTGAAGGTCAGGAAAGGTGACCTATAAGGTATCAGGTACAGGAAGGCTATTAGGCGGGGCTTAAAAAGGTAAGCCTGACTTCCCCAAGCACTGTTAGGCAAGTACACCAATACCAACCAACCCATACTCTCCATCTTTCTCTACGAACTCTAATCCTCCCTCTTTCTACTACCTTTTATCTACTACCCTTTTCCTATCTTTTTACTACCTACATGTTGCTTCCCCTTACCCCTTAAGTTTCCTCTCTGCTTATCTCTCACCTACAATTCCTCCATGTCTCCTCCCACACATTTCTTTCTATTTTCTTTTCCTCTACCTCCTTCCCTCCGTCTGCTCCTCTCTCCTCCCTTCCCTAAGTCTCCCTCTCTCTCTCTCTCTCCTCCCCTTCTATCCCTGTCGATGTTGAAATTGATGGCGTTAGCATGTTTGCATAATCTTGTACATTGCAACAATGAAATGTGTTGTGCCGGAGGGAGGGGGGGTGCGTCGCAGGGGTTGGGGGCTGGTTGGGGGGAGGGGGTCATGGTTGTGGGATGTCCGGAAGCATCATCCTGCAATCAACATGATTTGTTAACTGTATGTTGTCTACATTTATAGGCGTTAGTCTGTATCATGCTGTTAGGTGGTGATGTATATGGTCATCACTGTCCCCTCAAACTAGCAGAGGGACACACGGTGTTCTAGTCGGAAAACGTTGGTCTGATATTGCGGCGCCACTCAGGACAGTGGTGGGATTGTGGCGCCACTCAGGACAGTGGTGGGATTGTGGCGCCACTCAGGACAGTGGTGGGATTGTGGCGCCACTCAGGACAGTGGTGGGATTGAGTGGAAGGTTCAGAAAATGAAGACCTGAGTGTGTCTTGGGAGTGTGTGGGGGCGCGGTAAGGGCACGTCCGCCCGCCTGCCTGGAGGTGTTGTTGCCCACTGATTCTGCCTCCGGGGCAGAACTTCACATGAATACCTTCCCTACATCCACCCCACTCCAACCTGAGGAACACCCCCGACGCCACGCAACCATTCCACCTTCGCCAAGAGCCCCCACCACCACCCAAACCTGCACACATTCAGCCTGAGCCCCGAGGGAGAGGAAGTGTGTGAGTGTGGGGGTGGTGGGTGAGGTGGGCAGGACGCTGGAGATGGTGGGGCCCGCTCACGAGTGCAGGAGTTGTGTGCGTGGCCCCCATGAAGAATGTGTGCTGCTGCTGGGCCCCCCAGAACAAGGAGCAGGTCAGTCTCACTTCTTAACTACATTTTTCTTGCCGGATTTGGATTTGTTTGATGGCAGAATTGGATTTTAGTTGGCTGATTTGGAATATTTTTTTGCCGGATTTCGACATTTTGTTGGCCGATTTTGTCTTGTTGTTGGCGGATTTTGATTGTTTTTGTTTGCGGATATTTGCTGTACCTAATGTAGCCTTGGGAACTCGCCTCAATCATGACGCTTTCAGCATTGGAGTTGCCCTTCGCCTTGCCGCCCCCAGCCCCCCATCCTCACCGAACACTGGGGCCATCTACGGAAGTGCGATGGCAGACCAATATGGTCGTCATGGTCTGGTATGTCGTAAATCACAGGGTAAGTTTGCAAGACATGAGGAAGTAAACGACGTCATCAAGAGGAGCCTCGCCACAGGGCTGTGCCGAGGATATTGAATCTATAGAACATGGATGTTATCAAATTAGAATGTTTGGAAATATACAGACGATGAGTTACAATAACGTGGCTGAAGTATGTTGGCCAGACCACACACTAGAAAGTGAAGGGACGACGACGTTTCGGTCCGTCCTGAACCATTCTCAAGTCGATTGTGAGAATGGTCCAGGACGGACCGAAACGTCGTCGTCCCTTTACCTTCTAGTGCGTGGTCTGGTCAACAACTTAGGAAATATAGCAACGGGTATAAAAATAACGGTGATAGGCGGTGTGGCTTAAAGAGCTAGATGTCACTGTCATACAGTTAGGGGTTAGGTAAGTATGGTAGGGTAAGAACCCACTAAGGATGGTAGAGAAAGGGTGTGTGGTCCCGGGAGGTTTAATAGGAAGCATCCTGACGCCCCTAGACACTGTGTGTCCGCCATACCACCAACAGCCATCGTTAACAACCTTTCCCTTAATGCTATCTAACATGGAGCAGCTCGTCTCGATGCGGTAATACAATCGTAAATGTTTTTGTTGACGTTCCTTCAGCTTGAATACGGATTACAGCTTTTTTTTGAGAACCGTACAGCCCGTTTTTCAAGTACGGATTTCTGTAATCCGTACTTGAATACGGATTACAGCTAAGGTAAAATTTATTGAATATTCGTAAATCAGAGTTCTTTTATCTTCTAATATTTACTTTTGTTTTCATAAAAATATATGTTACTTTTTATTAAATTTAATAGGTATTAAAGTTATTAAAAATATAGGTTATAATATAATAAAAATAGGCCTATTAGGTTTGGAGGATATAGATTTACGACTCTAGAACAACAAACATCTTCACTAGGAGGTTGTGGGAACCGACCTGTGAGATTTATATTTATTTAATTTATATACTTCGATAGCAATTTGTATAATGATAAGTGGACTGTATTTCTGCAATAATCTTATAATCTCACAAATCGATCCTCTACACATTAGGGGGGTTTATTAAATTAAATATATATGCAGCCAATCAAACTACAGTAATAGACTACATACATTGAAAAGGTTCCTTATCTTATAGTACAGCAGGTTAGTCCACCAGGTATAACTAGGGTGGAGACACCAAATTATCCTCTTTGAGGCAGCTTCCATCACCCAGTAACTGGTGCACAAAATCTTGCATCCTCGTCTTGACCTGTTAAAAGGGCGCTAGCTGTGAAGCCAGAAACCTAGTATATGACAGGTATTTCAGAGAAACATTGTACTTGGAACATGAAGACCTGGCTTAATTACCTTTAGTTTGAGGCTTCCACGTGCTCTAACTGGATCACCCTATATAATGACATTAATGGCCATAAATGAAAGATACATGGGTTTCGGAAAGAACACTTAACTTGAATTGTAGACATCGTGTTGGAGATGGTACCTTTGGTTTCCATAACACTACGTCCAAGTAAAATTAACAGGAGCCGAATTTGCTCCCGTGTGAGCCTCTGGTCTCAATATAAACAATGGCTGTTTAACACTCCATACTATTGACGTTACTGGCCGACATTGTCCAGATATGATAGGAGCTAAATTTGCTCCACACGTCTCGGAGGTGACACAACAATGCCTCCCTCCTTCCTCCCTGACGCCTGGCCTACTTTGTCCAGATTTCAGAAAGTGATAGAAGGGTCACATTTACTCTACTTTAATATTGATAATTAAGTTAATTTATATAAGATGTTTTTATGATGGTAAAGTCCAAAGACTAATGTATTTAAGAATAATTCCCACCATAATAGGTGGAGAATATAATAGTATGTGGTGATGATATCCCGTTTTCTATAGACGGTAATTCCACTACAAGTTACGTTTTCTGTGGGTAACTTGTTTATACAATACAGCTATTATCTGTATGATTATTAAATGGTGTCGGATTTTCCGACAGAGGTTACCTGAGGCATCATGATGATCCAGTGTACAGTAGTATCATGAATCTTGAGAAGACTTCATCATATAAACTTGATAAATGTGTATAGTGGTAAGACTTCAATTGAAATGTAACAAACTAGGCTGTTGTAAGAATTATTCCAGAAGGTTCCAGAAGTTCGAGTAGGGACCTGACCTCTCAACAACGCCCAGTCCCCTGGGAATTAGCAGGTCTGAGTCACAAATGGCGGCCTTGGTTGCCAGCCTTGGGTGCCAGCCTTGGTTGCCAGCCTTGGGTGCCAGCCTTGGGTGCCAGCCTTGGGTGCCAGCCTTGGGTGCCAGCCTTGGGTGCCAGCCTTGAGAGCCAGCCTTGGGTGCCAGCCTTGAGAGCCAGCCTTGGGTGCCAGCCTTGGGTGCCAGCCTTGAGAGCCAGCCTTGGGTGCCAGCCTTGAGAGCCAGCCTTGGGTGCCAGCCTTGAGAGCCAGCCTTGGGTGCCAGCCTTGAGAGCCAGCCTTGGGTGCCAGCCTTGGTTGCCAGCCTTGGGTGCCAGCCTTGAGAGCCAGCCTTGGGTGCCAGCCTTGGGTGCCAGCCTTGAGAGCCAGCCTTGGGTGCCAGCCTTGAGAGCCAGCCTTGGGTGCCAGCCTTGGGTGCCAGCCTTGGGTGCCAGCCTTGGGTGCCAGCCTTGGGTGCCAGCCTTGAGAGCCAGCCTTGAGAGCCAGCCTTGGGTGCCAGCCTTGAGAGCCAGCCTTGGGTGCCAGCCTTGAGAGCCAGCCTTGGGTGCCAGCCTTGGGTGCCAGCCTTGAGAGCCAGCCTTGGGTGCCAGCCTTGAGAGCCAGCCTTGGGTGCCAGCCTTGGGTGCCAGCCTTGAGAGCCAGCCTTGGGTGCCAGCCTTGGGTGCCAGCCTTGGGTGCCAGCCTTGGGTGCCAGCCTTGGGTGCCAGCCTTGGTTGCCAGCCTTGGGTGCCAGCCTTGGGTGCCAGCCTTGAGAGCCAGCCTTGGGTGCCAGCCTTGGGTGCCAGCCTTGGGTGCCAGCCTTGAGAGCCAACCTTGGGTGCCAGCCTTGAGAGCCAGCCTCGGGTGCCAGCCTTGAGAGCCAGCCTCGGGTGCCAGCCTTGGGTGCCAGCCTCGCAAGTTTGGTGCTACAGCTCTTAAGTCTTAATTTTTGTTTACCTGCAGATCGGTTTAAGAGAATACCTTTAAATGTAGCATTTGGGTGTTTTATAGTGTGTACTGTACAAAGTGTTATTATTCTAACCCACTGATGGACGCTTTAGAAAGTATCTACTTTCTATCTATGGTTTGGTTAAGATTTCATTAAGTTTGATTGCGTTAATAGGGTGTATTAGTGACGATAATGTGAAATATGGAATTCAAAAACTATTTCAGTGTACCCGAGAATTCTGTTTATAGAAAACCAAATTCTTCCAACAAAATTTCAGCATATACTTATTATATTTCAAAGCAACGATTTATAATACAACATTGTAACTTGAGAATAATCTGTTTAGGACAAAAATTCGCTTCCCAGTTTACATGTTGACTATAACTGGAACCCTAATATGGTTTCAGACCATCATAAATATCTAAATAACTATCCAGGCACTTTGAAGGAGAGTGTAGCTTCTCAGTACCCAGCTGCACTAGTCTCTCTCCCCCTTCTCTTCCCTTCCTGTCTTCCCCTCTCCACCCCCTCTCTCCAAGCATATCCCTTTTCCCCCTTCTTGTAAATTGCTTTTATAAAAGAACTGAAATTGCTACGTCTACGGACAGTAGAACCAACATTTCAGATTTGAATGAATGAAAATCGCATGTGAAGTGGGAAGAGGAGGGGGGAGGGTGTTAGATGCCGACATTTCTAAGTGTGATTTTGTGGGCTATTCATGCCCGTGCCACCTCTTGGGTGGCTTAATCTTTATCAATCAATCTTCTTAGTGTGGCGACTGGCCTATAACACAAATACCACAAGTTCTTCATGCACAGCACCGCTCCTGTGCCAGGTATATCTTGAGGTCATCTTGAGGTGATTTTGGGGCTTTTTAGTGTCCCCGTGGCCCGGTCCTCGTACAGGCCTCCACCCCCAGGAGGAGGCCCGTGACAGCTGACTAACACCCAGGTACCTATTTTACTGCTAGGTAACAGGGGCATAGGGTGAAAGAAACTCTGCCCAATGTTTCTCGCCGGCGCCTGGGATCGAACCCAGGACCACAGGATCACAAGTCCAGCGTGCTGTCCGCTCGGCCTACCGGCTCCCGGTAAGCTATGGGCTCACCATAGCCCGTGCTACTTGGAACTTGTTCTGAGTAGCTGAATCTATAACAACAACGTTCATGTAAACAGAGCAATGCAAAAGATGTACAGTGACCACAACACAGCAGTTGCAACATCAAGATCTGCGGGTTGGTACAAGAATTCAACCAACTACGAACCACTTAGTTGGATGAAAGGGAACAGTAGAGCAACAGAAGTGCATTTACATCGCATCAGGCTTGGATACCCATGTGCATGGGAAATAGGCTTACAGGTTCCGGAAGATGAGAGGAAATGTCAACACTGGAGAAATGCCCGACAGACCACTGGAACATTATCTAACACAGTGCACAGTTACAAACCCATTAAGATTTCAACTTAGATTCAACAGTGCAGAAGAAGTTGTTAAACATATATGGCAAAATCTTACTGAAGCGACCATACGAGTCATAAATACTCATACTCCGCCCAAGTAAAACAGAAACAAGCAACACTTAGTGGGCCAGCCAGAGGCTTAGGGCCCGCGCAGGAATATCCCTGCAAAAAAAAAAAAAAAAAAAAAAAAAACGTTCATCTGTGTAAGACGAGCACAAGCCTCTGGCCCACAGCCTTGGACAGGCAGACATCCTTGTATAAAGGGTGCAGGATAATTAATGTGTAGGGTTAAGGTAAGAAGTAAGAGGGGTGGGGAGAGATGAAGGGAAAGGGCGAAAAGGTGACGAGGCACAAAGGGGGGGGGTAGGCGAGAGGAGGCGGGGAGACTTAATAATGGTCCAGGATGGACCAAAACGTCCTCGTTTCTTAGTTTTCATTTATGGGTCAGATATCACGCACCGATGTGTCTTAATTCCTGAAGCAATACCAAGGTTAGTTTATATTGGTATTTACCTTGTATCGATGTAACTGGCTTCAAAATGGGGGAATTACCTGTAAGATTAACATAGATCAGCCGCACGGCCTGGGGCTGTTAGTGGACCTGCTTCTTGTGATCAAAAATTGCACGTGAATTTGGCACAGTGGCACATGTAGTTAAGTCAGCTGTAAGGTTTGATTCTTGCACTAGGACAGATTCTTTTGGCAAGGTTTCTTTTCATCTTATGCCTTTGTCACATTGCAGTAAATATACAGTATATACCCAGAAGACAGGCAATTTGTGAGTTGCATCTTGTGGGAGGTCGGTAGTTGGGCTGTGGAAACCTTGATAACCCTAAATATAGGTTTCCTGCCCCTGACTAAGGGAAACCCATATATTAGGTAAAGCATATTTATGATGATGGAAATATATAGTTCATGATAGTGCCACCTCTTGGGTAGCTTAATCTTCATAAAGCTTTATAGTGAACATGTATATTATGCTAGTATTGATAGTCGCGCTGTGGAAACACAACAAGACGAACTGATGGCTTTCTATTTTCAGCTGAGTGACAGCGGGGGCCCGGCGGATGGCGGCGGTGGCAGCAGCGGTGTCAGTAGTGGTAGCGGGGACGTTGTGGGCAGTGGCGGCGGCGGCGGTCTCACCCGCAGCGGCTCTACACGTGGCAGTCTACGTAAGGTGGGTCGCCATCTTGTATTGTATTCCATTGTATCCACACTGGATCCTCGCGGTGAATATGGCGATATTTAGCTTAGACATATAATTATCGAATTATGATTATAATTATATATATAATAATTATATCTAATTATGATCTGCATCAACAAACACTTGTTTATCTGAATTTTTCTAGTGGTATTTTAGTTTAATGAAGACATTGCCAAAACAGCTGCGGCGGGTAAATAGGTCTACCTGTTTATTACACTCTTGCCGTTTCTGATATTAAACTTGGTAAACTTAACCGAGTCCAGTACTGTAGTTTTGTTAATGTAAAATACACACACTCCCCTCCTCCCCCCTCCACCCGTCTCTGGGTGCTGAGACTGTATAAATTATAGTGTGTATGTTAGTTAAGCCTTGCATGCTCTTGGATACTTTGTGCATATTTATGTATGTAAAGTACAATAGGTTACTTGAGACTAAATGGTACATTGGTCACTATAAAATGCTAAACTGAATAAAAAAAAAAACATGTTTCAACCTCCAAGCCTAAAACTGCTTAATTTGTCCCCCTGTACTTAAGTGGTGCAGTATATTGACAAGCGTGTTGCTCCCAAACAATAGGTTCTGCCCTCTGTACCAGACATGGATCAGCAGTTATCCATGGCAACCAAGATGATTGACCGACGAACTTCCACCCCAAAGGGCAACCACTCGTATAGTCCCTACTTCTTAGAATATACCCTTCTTGCAGAGTAGTAAGTAATGTCTTCGCTTACTATGTACAGCACTTCGAAATGTTGGTAGTGTCTAATAGTTTGTACTGTACTGTACAGAATGTCATTGACATTCTGTATATGACATTGCAACATTCTAAAGCACACGTGTATTGTTTTAAGTGTTCTGAAATAGGTTTTGTTGGGATATATATTTAAGTGACATACTGTGTTTTTTTTCTTTGGCTACTACACACATCTTGTGCTACTTGGAAGTCTTTCATATCTTCCTATCATTGATTGAAGAAATGCAGAGAAGTACAGCACTGTGCTATGTAATCCTTCTAAAGTTGTCAGATCCTTGTCAAATCACTTTCACTGCAACTAAAGTTCCATTGGATCCAAAGTTCTGTTACTTCCAAATTTTATACTGTACTAAAAAAAAATTATTCGTGGAAAAGATAGAATTCACTTAGCACAAACTTTTATGCCAAAATTGCTTTAAAGAAAAAAAGTAAATTTTTAGATTTTTTGTTGATTGGTAATTTCCTTTTCACCATATACTAACCCAGTAAATGCATGGGCTGCTATTCATCCAGCTTTCTGATGTATAGTACAGCACTGAGTTCCGCTCAAGGTATTGTATTGTACTGTACTGTACTATACAGTATAGTTACCTGAATTTATCGTGGAGAAAATCAAATTCTTTTTACATATCTTGCCTTGTGATATTAATGTTTGAAGCAACTTGTAACACAACTGTAACTTACTATATATATATAAACACCACTCTTATTGTAAATGTATCTCTTGCAGCAATCTCTTGCAGAAGCAGAGAGTATCAGGTGTCTATGTTGTGCCATCAGGCAAATCACCTCTTGGTAAGTTGTCTTTTTTATAGTTCACTTGGAGTACCAGGCACTGGCCGGGATGATCTCTCTCCTGTCACCCTCATCCCCTGGAGTACCAGGCACTGGCCGGGATGATCTCTCTCCTGTCACCCTCATCCCCTGGGCTCATATTTACATCCTTTCATCCCCTGTCTTTCTGCTTTCCCCCCCCCCTCTTCATGCTTGCCCCTTCTCCCAGGAAATGTATTATTAAAAAGCACTGAGACAGTTGTATGAATCTATTAGAAAATTAATTATTACTGCCACTAAAATTTCACATGAATCACACCATACATTTCACACATGACTCCATGAAAATCACTTGAGGGTGGGGGGGGGGGCTATAATTGTTAATATTTCTGAAAGCATTGAAGTAGGCCTATATCCTACCTATACACCAGACCATTAACCCCTGCAAATTTGAGTGAGGCAAGACCCAAGTGTGTGGCCTCCAACTTTGATGGACATAGACATTCTCTGATAGGTATAGATTAGTACTGACATTTGATTTGATTGCCCTAGTGCTAGTCTTTTACCATACTGTACTTTCATTCCGTTGTCTTAAATGACACATGGTATGCAAAAAGTTGTTTTTTTTCTTAACAGGCTGAATACACATGTTAAAAAGCATGCCTTGTGAAACTGACAAGTTTAAGTGCTTTTAATAATACCATAATACATTATAATAATAAATGCAGTTTTATTTCGAGCAGACATGCCATCATTCTCGATTGTAAAACTAGGGAAGATTGGAAGTGAGTAATTGCATTCATGCTCGGTTGCCCTTTGCATCATGCAAAATGTAAGCTGTTCAAATCATTACAACTTTTAGACTTGTTTGCTCCCAGAAAAATTCAGTTTTCTCGGTTTACTATTGTGGTTGCAGAAAGAACTGGTGTGCAGTTGATCACTTCAGCAAGTTGGACTTAAACGTATAAAAGGTCTTTTATGTTAAGAATCTTGCACAGGCACCAGTGCAACAAGGATCATTAACAATTTTCCTGCAGGATTATATAAAGTGCTAGTTTTAGAGATGATTCTTGATTACAATTACCAAGGCAATCAAGTTTCTTTGCTTTTTCTGTTCCAGATCATATTTTACTCTTTGGTGTTATAGTTTTGTTATAGTGTTCAATGAGTGATAATTTCGTGAGTGGATAAATGGTGGCTCTATGATGTTAGCTCGCTGAGGTAGCTTCCCTACTGAGTTATATCAGCCATAGGTATCCTGTATGGCCTATAGAGGACTATCCTGTATGGCCATAGGAATAAGTGCCTCACTGTTTCAATGTCTCGTTATATATTCATTTACCAGTACAGTACTCGTATATATACAACATTCATAAAGTATTTCATGTCAGTAAAATGCACCAGTACTCTTCTTTTGAAGTTTCCGATTTGGCATGGACATAGAGAAGCTAAAGAAACACCACTAAGTATATGTAATTATATTCGCAGTATATTCTCAATATATTTCAAATATACAAAATCCTCAACACCACCTAGTGTCTGCTCGTAACCCCCAACGAGCAAACCCCCCTCAACCTCATAATCCCCAAATCAGTGTCCGCTGGCCACTCCCTATTACACTCCCCCTCAGTGACAAAACGTCCAGAAAGTCAGTGAAGCCATGCAGACAACTGAAAGATTCAGAGAAAACAAAATGCTGAAATAGTCAAATGACTCCACAAATGATTCACTTGGAAACTTATGTCAACCCCCACCTCCCAGCACCACTGGGAGCTAATGGCTTATATGTCATCTTGGTCTCAGTCCTACCACTGATGTCCTTCAATTCAGACCTCACTAAATCGCTAGTTGTAGGGAGTCCCATTTAATTTTAAAATTTGTCCCGAAGGACGAGTTCATTGGGCACTACTACTCATCCTGTGAGTGAACATACTGCCATAACAGTGTGTGACAATCCCCCCCCCCCCCAAAAAAAAAATAATAAACCCTCGGGGTTGTTCATCCTGTCACTTCTACCCAGACATAGATGGGATTTGCTAACTGTCTCAAGGGAAAATTTTATCAAACAAGTAAATAAACATTTATCAACCCCTAAACTTATGTTATCTTTTAGGTGCTTAGAAGGGAAAATCCTTTAAGAACAGTATCTGTATTTGACAGTGTTTACCACTCAAACAATGTTGGATTTATTATTCTACACATTTCTAATGTCTTTTAGATGGGAAGAGTGTCTCAGGTAGTGGTCAAGAGTGGTGTAAGTCACTCGCCCACAGATTCTGCAGCTCTGTTGCTCAACTGTTGTTTCTATCCCATGTATCCATGGTTATTTGTATCAAAGATGAATTCTCACTGTTACCGATTCTCTCCCGCGGCCACCCCCCCCCCCCTTTTCTTTCATCCATAATGATTGGGAATGCCAGTTGCAACCATATTGTACCAGTGTACAAATGCTGTGTTTCCAAAGGACTTTTATATACTGTAGTAAGGAAAGAGAGAGACGGGAGAGGAGGAGGAGTGGCTCTGCTGATAAGGAAGGACTGGAGCTTTGAAGAGATGGAAATTCCGGGCTGTGACGGATTCAGAGATTACATAACAGGAACTATGACAATAGGTGGACCTAAGATAATAGTAGCAGTCATTTACAACCCTCCATTAAATGACAGAAGACCTAGACAAGAGTTTGACAGAAACATGGCTACCATTAACATAGAGAGAGCAGCTTCAGTTGCTTGCAGGAATTGATCCAGACTCTTAATCATGGGCAATTTCAACCCTGGAAAGATAGACTGGGAGAATGGGGACCCACATGGAGGTGGAGACACGTGGAGATGTAAACTTTTGGAAGTGAGTACATGTACAAGGATCTTTCAGAGCCAACATGTCAAGGGGCCCACAAGAATGAGAGGAAATGACGAACCAGCTAAACTCGACCTGATTTTCACCTTAAATGGCTCAGAAATAGGGGAAGTCAAATAACCTATCCTATCCACCTATCCAAGGATGGGATTGGAAGGAAAAAGACTAAATTACCGAAGAGGAAAATGACGATGAGGAACTTCCTAATGGGAATACCATGGAAAACAGAACTCAGAGAAAAGACTGTACAGGATATGATGGATTATGTCACTCAGAAGTGTCAGGAGATTGCAGACAGGTTTATCCCAGTCCAAAAAGTGAAAAATGAAAAGCAACAGAAAAATCCGTGGTTCAACCAAAAATGTGCAGCAGCGAAGCAATTGAGTAAAAGAACATGGCAAAACTACAGGAACAACAGAACACCAGAGAGCAGGGAGAAATAACAGAGGGCCAGAAATGAGTACATCAGAGTGAGGAGAGAAACAGAGAGACAGTATGAAAATGACATCGCGAGTAAAGCTAAGACCCAACCAAAACTCCACAGCCACATCAGGAGGAAAACAGCAGTGAAGGAACAAGTGATGAAACTGAGAAAAGGGGAGAACAGATACAGAGAACGATAAAGAGGTGTGTGAAGAACTCAACAAGAGATTCCAGGAGGTCTTCACAATAGAACAAGGAGAGGTCCCTGCACTAAATGAGGAGGCAAACCAAACAACCTTGGAGGAAATTTACCTCACCAGTGATGAGGTCAAAAGGAATCTGTTGGAGCTGAATGTGTCAAAGGCTGTTGGGCCTGACAGAATCTCACCGTGGATTCTAAAAGAAGGTACAGAAGCACTGTGTGCCACTCTATGGTGTATAACAGGTCACTGGAAACGGGAAACCTTCCAGAAAGCTGGAAGACAGCTAATGTAGTCCCAATTTACAAAAAGGGTGACAGGCAAGAGGCATTGAACTACAGGCCAGTTTCACTAACTTGTATACCATGCAAGGTGATGGAGAAGATTGTGAGGAAAAGGCTCGTAGAGCATCTGGAGGGAAACAGCTTTGTAACACACCACAAGCATGGGTTCAGAGATGGTAAATCGTGCCTCACAGGCCTAATAGAATTCTATGACCAAGCAACACAAATTAGGCAGGAAAGAGGAGGGTGGGCAGACTGCATTTTCTTGGACTGTCAGAAAGCCTTTGACACAGTACCTCACAAATGGCTGTTACAAAAGTTGGCGCAGCAGGCAGGAGTAAAAGGTAAGGTGCTCCAGTGGATAAGGGAGTATCTAAGCAATAAGAAACAGCGAGTAACGGTGAGGGGGGGGGGGGCATCAGAGTGGCGAGATGTCGCCAGCGGAGTCCCACAGGGCTCTGTACTCGGACCCATCCTGTTTCTAGTATATGTAAACGACCTTCCAGAGGGTATAGACTCATTCCTCTCAATGTTTGCTGATGATGCAAAAATTATGAGAAGAATCAAAACAGATGAAGATAGACAGAGACTACAGGACGACCTGGACAAACTGGAGGAATGGTCTAGAAAATGGCTGCTAAAGTTCAACTCGGGAAAGTGTAAAGTAATGAAATTAGGTGAAGGGAGCAGAAGGCTGAACACAAGGTACCATCTGGGAGGTAAAATCCTACAAGAGTCAAATAGAAAGATCTGGGGGTCGATATCACACCGAACCTGTCCCCAGAGGCCCACATCAAAAGGATATCATCAGCGGCATATGCTAGACTGGCCAATATAAGAACTGCCTTTAGAAACTTGTGTAAGGAATCGTTCAGGACCCTGTATACCACTTATGTAAGACCAATCCTGGAGTATGCAGCTCCAGCCTGGAGTCCATACCTAGTTAAACACAAGACAAAGTTAGAGAAGATTCAGAGGTATGCCACCAGACTGGTCCCGGAACTGAGAGGAATGAGTTATGCGGAAAGGCTAAGGGAGCTGAACCTCGCAACCCTGGAAAACAGTAGAGTAAGGGGAGACATGATAACCACCTACAAAATTCTCAGGGGAATTGACAGGGTGGACAAAGACACTCTTTAGCACGGGTGGAACATGAACAAGGGGACACAGGTGGAAACTTAGTACCCAGATGAGCCACAGAGACATTAGAAAGATTTTTTTCAGTGTCAGGGTAGTTAACAAATGGAATGCATTAAGTAGTGTTGTGGTGGAGGCTGACTCCATACACAGTTTCAAATGTAGATATGATAGAGCCCAATAGGCTCAGGAATCTGTACATCAGTTGATTGACAGTTGAGAGGTGGGACCAAATAGCCAGAGCTCAACCCCCGCAAACACAACTAGGCGAGTACAACTAGGTGAGTGTACAGTTTCACTGATTTGGTCTTCTATTGTTTCTCAATTACTGTACTGTGTATACTTTTTCATGGTGATGTTGCCTGATAATGCCTATAACTTGTAGAAGAGCCTTGGGTATGAATTATTCATTATGGTCTTCAGTGCCCTCAGCAGCCAGCACATCTGCTTGCTTATTTCCACTGATATGTCCCACTTTTTTTGTTTAAGCAAGTGTAGGCACTCCTTTGGACAATGAACTGTGGGGGCTGTTTGCTTGTGTATGTTTTGCTGACATACAAACAAATGCCTCTAAAGAAGCCTGTGGCTCCCCGATTTCCCTGTTCCCTCCAGGTTTGTTGGTTCGTTGTGGGTTGTTAATAAACTCCAGAACTGAGGTGGAGAGTCAATTAAGGGCTGTGGCCAGGCTGCCTGGTGGCAGAAATTGGTACTAATGAGTTTCAAGCTACTCTGATGGAATCCCTTATTGTGTTCGTATAATCTACAGAGTTGTTTTGGCAGTTTTGAGGCTTCATTTTCTGTGACCCCCCTCCAGTTAGTTGACTGTGAAGCTTTCCTGACTTTCTGTAGGCTTTTTGCCCGTGAAGTGGCAGGTTGTCACCCACTTCCTGCACATCTGTGAGGGGGGGGGGGCAAGTTCTGGCTCTGGTACCCAGTAGGTCAATCATAACTCACGCGATTGATGTGACCCTTTAGTATGTAGCAATCACGGCAAGATTGCTTAAGGAAGCCACTGAGGCTCTTCCAGAAAGAGGCATTTCATTACATTCAATGTTTTTTGTTTTTTTTGTTTCTGTAGCATGTTTCAGCCACTGTTTATTCAGAACTGCCAGATACTTTCCTTAGACTCTTACAGTGTATATATATATAGTAATTATCAAAACGGTTTTTATCAGCTGGCATTGTGAGCATCTCTATATTTTATCTGAATTATCAGCTCCTCCCCCTTCCTCCAGTAATGACATCTAGTATTAAAGAATTTTTTATATTATTTCAGTGTGGTTTGGAGTAATCTTTATTCGTCAGGGGATCTATCAAGAGGGTATCTTCCGCTTCAATCTTCACATACCAGAAAATTACCCAGATGGTGATGTACCAGTAAGTCCTTATTCCAGCCACAATAAATTATCAAGCTCAAAAGAAATACTTTACAGTACCAGTACAAATTTTGTTCTGTGTAATTGACCAAAATTCTTATTTCCATGTATGTACAGTAGTTTTATAATGTAAGACAAATAAATGATTTGAACCCTTTCAATATTATTGCTAAGGGTTATACAGTATTGTAGTCAGCAAACAAATTATAATTCCTTCAGTTGAAGGATGTACAGTTTATATTCATTGCTTATTAAATGCAATATTTTCTTTTATGTTAAAATTCTTTTAATAGTTATTTTTAACTGAAGTATTTAAATGTTGCACTAAAATTTCTTTACAGACAGTTATATTCGAAACTCCAGTCTTCCATCCCCTGATTGATCCTGATACACGGGAATTAGATATTAAGCGTGGCTTTGCCAATAAATGGCGAAGAAATGTAAATCATTTGTGGCATGTGTTGCTGTATGTACGACGATGTTTCTACAAAATTGAGACAAGTCACCCTCTTAACCCAGAAGCAGCTGTATTGTAAGTACTTGTATTTGTTCCATCTATTCTAAGTCAGTGTTGAGTAAGGTAATTATTTGGAGCAAGTGCCTAGCCATTATGACTAAGAAGGGGATATGAAAACAAGAGCCGAGATGAAATGTGAGTGAAGGAATAGTGCCTAATCAGTTCGACCATCGGGAATCAGAGTTTGATCCCCAATGGTCCAAATGGGTGGGCAGTTTCCTACACTCCATCCTCACATCCTGTTTATCTTAATTTCCTTTTCGAGTGTTATAGTCCCACATTCATTCAGGAATGTTCAATGGGAGTAGCCACTACTAAAATCCTCAGCATTTCAAGATCACATTACAAATACTGAGATTTCACAAAGTACTATATGAGCAGAAGAAAGGCAGTTAGAACAGAAAGCAATTCAGGAAATAAAGAAAAATCTAAAATATTTCTTCACATAAGCGAAATCAAAAGCAAAAACCACTGCCAGTATTGGACCTATTCGTACAAGTGAAGGTTCATACATGGAGGATGACAAAGAAATTAGTGAAATCCTAAAAAAGCAGTATGAGGACATGTTTAACACTCCAATAAACAACATGAAAGTGGAAGATCCAGACAATTTCTTTATGCGGGATATTCAAACCCCTGTAAATATAACTGATATTAACACGAGCGCACTAAATTTTGAAAGAGAAATTTAAAACATTCCCATGCACTCGGCCCCAGGTCCAGACTCGTGGAATTCAATATTTATAAAGAAATGCAAAGTGCCGGTAGCACAGGCACTCAGTACTGTATAGTGTGGAGGAAGAGCTTGGACATGGGGGAAGATACCAGATGCACTTAAAGTAGCAGACATAGCCCCTCTACACAAGGGAGGGAGCAAAGCATTGGCAAAGAGTTATAGACCAGTTGCTCTAACATCGCACATCATAAAAGTATTTGAGAGAGTGATTAGGAGTCAGGTCACCAATTTCATGGAGACCAATGACCTTCACAACCCAGGCCAACATGGATTTCGAGCGGGAAGATAGTGCCTCTTACAGCTACTTGAGCACTACGACAAAGTCACTGAGGCATTAGAAGAAAAACAGAATGCTGATGTGATATACACAGACTTCGCAAAGGCTTTCGATAAATGTGACCATGGCGTGATAGCACACAAAATGAAGTCAATGGGAATAACTGGTAAAGTAGGACGCTGGATACTCGGTTTTCTGTCAAACAGGACTCGGCGAGTAACGGTCAACCATATAAAATCTAGTCAAAGTGCAGTTAAAAGCTCTGTACCTCAGGGTACAGTCCTTGCACCGCTGCTTTTCCTTATTCTCATATCAGATATAGACAAAAATACAAGTCACAGCTTCGTATCATCCTTTGCAGATGACACAAAAATCAGTATGAAAATCATCTTGGCTGAAGACATTGAAAAACTTCAAGCTGATATTAATAAAGTTTTCGACTGGGCATCAGAAAATAACATGATGTTTAACAGTGATAAATTCCAGGTACTCAGGTATGGTAAAAATGAGGACCTTAAACATAATACAGAGTACAAAACACAATCAAATGTACCCATATTAGGAAAAAAGCATGTAAAGGATTTGGGAATAATAATGTCTGACGACCTAAAGTTTAAGGAGCATAACCAAGCAAATATTGTGACAGCCAGAAAAATGATAGGATGGATTACGAGAACTTTCAAATCCAGGGATCCCATTACAATGGTTGTACTCTTCAAGTCACTTGTGTTGTCCCGTCTTGAGTACTGCTCAGTACTCACTTCCCCGTTCAGAGCAGGAGAGATTGCTGAAATAGAGGGAATACAGAGAACATATACGGCACGCATAGACACAATAAAGCACCTAAACTATTGGGATCGTCTCAAAGCCCTCCAAATGTACGCACTAGAAAGAAGACGAGAGAGATATAAAATAATATACACCTGGAAGATACCGGAGGGAAAAGTACCAAATCTACACAGTAAAATAACAACGTACTGGAGTGAACGGTATGGAAGAAAATGCAGAATAGAACCAGTGAAGAGCAGAGGTGCCATAGGCACAATCAGAGAACACTGTATAAACATCAGAGGTCCACGGTTGTTCAACACCCTCCCAGCAAGCATAAGAAATATTGCCGGAACAACCATGGACATTTTCAAGAGGAAACTAGATTTATTCCTCCAAGGAGTGCCGGACCAACCGGGCTGTGGTGGGTATGTGGGCCTGCGGGCCGCTCCAAGCAACAGCCTAGTGGACCAAACTCTCACAAGTAAAGCCTGGCCTCGGGCCGGGCTTGGGGAGTAGAACAACTCCCAGAACCCCATCAACCAGATATCAACCAGAGCTCGGTTATCCTAAACCCATCGAACCTATTTGGGTTATCTGGCCAAAATCTAACCTGGATAATTTTCTGGAATCACCTTGGTTTACAAATTTAATCTGCTCCAAGAGACAGTTCGTACACTGAAAATTTGTAAACTGAAATAAATTTTCCCGTAAGAAATACAGTACCCAGTACAGTACAGTACAGTACAGTACATGAATTATTAAAACCTGTACACAAAGTGGCTGGAGGCAAGCATCGTGTTGAGGCCGTAATGTTGATTCCCTGAGCACTAGATAGAGACTGACGAATTGACTAAGGTCATGGGTATTTAAACCCCTGATGGTGAAATCACAATCGTTGTCACCGAGCCTTAGAACTAGCAACTGGCGACGTAACTGGCAGTTCGTAGACTTTAACAAGGAACTGGTGTGTCTGGAGCCGAACGCCTGCCTGGGGCTCTCGGGCTGAGTGTAGGGTGTACTGGTGATGGTTATCTTGAGGTTATCTCGATGATTTCGGGGCTTTTTAGTGTCCCCGCGGCCCAGGCCTCGACCAGGCCTCCACCCCCAGGAAGCAGCCCGTGACAGCTGACTAACACCTAGGTACCTATTTTACTGCTAGGTAACAGGGGCATAGGGTGAAAGAAACTCTGCCCATTGTTTCTCGCCGGCGCCTGGGATCGAACCCAGGACCACAGGATCCTGGTCCAGCGTGCTGTCCACTCGGCCGACCGGCTCCCTGTCCGGTGTCCAGACATTCCTCTGCGACTGGGTTGAATTCCATACTGGTCGTATTATTAGGCATGTAGAGTTTTGAATAATGAAGGTAAGATGGAAGAGGCCGTTTCCTCTGCTATGTTGAGGAATTATGTGACTGCATATATAAACTAAAAATTAAATAAAATAAAAAGCCATGTAAATGAAACACTCTTCTCAGAGCACATGTCCACTGCATAAAGCTCACTTATTTACATCTAGCATATACTGTAACCCCGCGATTATCCGGGATTCGAACATCTGGAAAACGCCCTTATACGGCCAAAATCGTGAAAGAATAAAGTTATCTCAATATTCGGCCAAAATGGCCATGGGAGCCGAATAAAAGCTGGTTTAGCCGGATAAAAATTCGGCCGTACCGTATTAATCCTGTCTGCATCAAATGAACAAATCCACAAGGGCTGTGACGAGGATTCGAACCTGCGTCCTGGATGCAGGTTCATTTGATGCATCACGTTAGTGTGATCTCTGTGTGTAATGATGTAAGGGCAAAGAGGGAGAACGGCCTATTGACAAAGCTCGGGTGCATGGGGGAGTTGTGTAAAATCCTGGTTTGTGCCTCGGAGAGGCTACGGGATCCAGTAAGTTCAGTAGAACTTCAGTTTCAACTCTTTACCCTGTCATAGCTCAGTCAATTAAGGCAGTGTCTGGGATGCTCCCGGACACAGGTTCGAATCCTCGTCACAAATTGTGAATTTGTTCATTTGATGCATCACGTTAGTGTGATCTCTGTGTGTAATAAGTTTCCTAAAAACAATGTGCACAGGCTGAAGTTTCCTTCATAAATATTGAGTTTTTTCCTCCTGGCGGCCTAAGTAACGTGCTATAGCTGCTCCAAGTGGACCCGTCCAACACTGGTCAACCCATGTGCTCCCGTCCCTCGTGTTATACCACAGTGCTGCGCCATTAGTGAAATATTTTTTTAAATAACTTTTTTATTTTCATAGTAACTTTGAACATTTTTGGCCAAGACTATGTCTGGTAGCAGCATCAATTGTTCTGGAGGTGTTAAGAAGAAGAAGATTGTCCTAGTAATTAAAGACAAGTTACGTGTTGTTCAACCAGTGAGGCGTCATAGGCAGCCAAATGCTTTCAACAAGTGAGGCGTCACAGGCAAGCCAAGCGCCTTCAACAAGTGAGGTGCATGCAAGCGCCTTTAACAAGTGAGGCGTCACAGGCAAGCCAAGCGCCTTCAACAAGTGAGGTGCATGCAAGCGCCTTTAACAAGTGAGGCTTCACAGGCAAGCCAAGCACCTTCAACAAGTGAGGTCCATGCAAGGGCCTTCAACATGTGAGGCCTCACAGGCAACCCAAATGTCTTCAACCAGTGAGGCTTCAGCAGCTGGCAGTCAAAACTAACTTTGCTTAATGAACTGTACAGTAATTTTAAGTGTTAATTTTAGTGTTGTGTTAGTATAGGTTACGTAAATTGTTAAGAATCCTTAACTTCAAGATGTGTGGCATCAGTCAAGAAGACTAACACCAACAAGGTAAGTTGAGGTTTCTAGTTGAATATTTAATAATTATATGTGGCAAGGCAATTTAAATTATGTTGTTTGTAGTATAAAAATAGTTGGAAATACTCACTTTTGGACTCGTAGATGGAAAAGGTACCATTATCCGAAAAATGTGATAATCCGGCTGGGGGTCCTTCCCATATAGTCCGGATGATCAAGTGGAGACAGTATTGGATTCTGACTACTACTCTGCATTCATTTCTCATCTTAGCAGCCATATCCCCAGCAATGTAGCTTTATTATCTTTTAATTTCTCTACTTAAATAGACTCTAACATCTCTCTTTTTTTTTCTCTTTTTTTTTTTTCTTTAACATTACCCCTTACAAACAGGAGCACATGCTCTTGTAAATACTGTACTGCATTAGCTCGCTTATCCAGATTCCACATAACGGACATTTGGGTTATCCGGCCAAAATGATATCCAGATAATTTTCTGTCAACTTCACTATCTGGACAGAAATCTGGATAACTGGAGGTTATATTACATAAATTTTCAAGAAGTACACATTTCAAGATGTCCAATACAGTATCAAACAAAAACACAAACTCCAACAAGGTAAGCTGAAGTTTCTCTTTTTAAATTGTTTTTGATTTATAGTGAATGTGAAAATTCAAATTATGTTGATTGTGGTACAGTACTTGTACCACAACCTGGCTGCAATGTAATTGTGTCCATGGAACCAGTTGGATCTAACATCAGGAAGCAAACAAGTGTCTTAAACAGAAAGGAACTTTTCATATACTCAAAGCTTAATTTTTCATACTGACGCTTCTGATTTCATCTGTCTTTTGTCACAAAAAATGTCACCATATCTTTACAGGCATCAGGTACATGAACCATAATCATTACTAGTTCTAAAAACAGTTTTGAATTATTGCTCTTGCAGATTTGATAGTGACAATGAAATGTTCCTTCTGCGTGTGCGGGAATGTGTCGACAAAAGCAAGGTCTTGATATATGAACCACCACCAGCTAGTGATCCACATGCCTTGGTGTTCTCTCCATACCAACCAGCCCTCCATGATACAGTCCGGGAAGAACTGAAAAAGGAAAGGGTAGGTTGCTATGAGAAGTAAAATTCTCATGTTCTTTCAAAAAATTCAAAATTCAAATTCAAATTTTTTTCAGGTAAAAGTACATACATAGAAGATGAGTTACAAACATAATGTTGGATTTATAGATAGAGCTAGTATTGTACATACAATACCCAAAGCCACAAATACAGTACGCATAGCGTTTCGGGCAAAGTGTGGGGGGAAAAAACTTGGACCTTCTTGTTTTAAATCTTTTTGTTGCTTCCTGTAGGAGGAGGAATTGTTCTTGACAAATGTTCATGTAGAGAGAGAGCGAGAGAGAGAGCGAGAAACAAAGTAGAGAATATATTTGATTGATTATATTTTCCTGGAAAGACTTTATCAAATGTGTACCTGAAATACATTTGTCCTAAAATTAGAGTAATATTCTACAGAAACATGCAGCTAAGTTGCAGAGTCCCTGGGAAAATAAATGGCTTGCAGTACAAAGAAAATTGCAGTCAATTCGCAAACTGTGATGTTTGCCTGCTGCAAATAGAGGTGCCACTAACCCTGACCAGCCATGGTGATTGCTGGAGACAGACCCCCATTTGAGTTCCAAAGAGTCTGTGAACATGTTGACCAAACCACACACTAGAAAGCGAAGGAACAACGACGTTTTGGTCCGTCCTGGACCATTCTCAAGTAGATTGTGAGAATGGTCCAGGACGGACTGAAAAGTCGTCGTCCCTTCACTTTCTAGTGTGTGGTTTGGTCAACATATTTCAGCCACGTTATTGTGACTCCTCGTCTGCAGTCTGTGAACATCTTTAGTCCAGGCAGAGGAGAGTGCAATAAAACTAAACCATGAATAAGCCTGTAAAGGAAAACTTGAACAAGTCTCTACGTGGCTTTCCTGAGTCTGCACCTGATGGTCCCAACATTTGGGGAAATCCCAAAAAGGGATTTCCCCAAACTGTAAGACTTCCTTCAGCCACACAGCTGCTTGAGACAGAGCTGGGTAGTTCACAGGCTCAGCATCACCAGATGAATGCATGATAAAAGGCTCAGGCATGCCCTCCAACATAAGAATGGCCATATGTGCTTAATTTGCAGGCACTTAATGGAACACCACCCTGCTTTTTACTGTCCGAACTGCAATATCCCTCTTAGCCATGCATCTCCCTGTAGAATGTCCAGATTTTCAGGATGTTCGTGAGTCTTGCTTCGTAACTGTTCTTCCTGGTCATTTGTTCCTTGCTAGAATCCTTGGTGAATCCGTTACCTTTGATATCGCTCAACTTGTGTGCTTTTGTTCTCGTAGTGACATACTCGGCGATATTTAGCGCCTTTTGATTATGTATCTAGTGACATTAATAGAGCTACTTCAATCTCCCAGGCTTGGTGCCTTTTTTTTTATAATTACTTGCTTATTTGTAGGGATACTCCCTTAATTCATACTCTCTGAACTCAATATTCATGTACTTCTAATATTCAGTGTCTTGTTGATTGTACAGTAACAATCATTTGTGGCACCTCCTGTTCTCATTTCACCACGTGGTTCATATTTTGATGTAGTGTATGCTGGACTGTGTATACCTCCCATGAATAGATTCTATTAAAACGTGTTTTTGTTATGGGTCAAGATCCTTGACAATGATGCACACTTAAAGTGCAGAGATTGGAAGCATTTATGAGTTAACCAACTCATAGGTCTAGATTCACCACTGCAGACTGAGTAAAGCAGAATGTGTTCCCCCCCTTCATTTGGTTGGGTATTTTTGAACCAGTTGGGTTTTGCAAGAAGCCAGTGGGGAGATTGCTATAATCTCAAAATTAGGTTAGTTCAAATATGAAATGACTGTGCCTCCTCGGTGGGAATCAAACCTCATGGCCCGTTTAATTGCTAGGCACCTACTAGAGTTTAAAGAGGAAATCCATTTAGTGGAATGTTGTAACTTTCAAGATGTTACCATATTTATACTTTTCAGAATGACCCAGAAAGCACATTGAAGGAGGACAGCAGCAACAATGGCATGTCATGGGTGAAACCAGGTACTCTTCAAATATTCTCTCAATCTGCTTCTTGACAACCACCTTAATATGGAAATATAGAATTGTTGCCATTTATTTCCCAATACAGACATTTTCTCATGTTGGTCACAATATCACAATATTGACTAATTAGTGCTGTTTGTCCAAATAATTTGTTTATCTAGGGAGATTCCTGGTATTGACCTGATTGTTGGATACTTTGCAGCAAGTTTATCCAGACTAACATCTGTTTTTAAGTTATTTGTTTGTGACTGGCAGACATTTTTCTGAAAGTTTGGGTTATGGGTGTTGTGTATATCCTGCCATTACCTTGATGCAGCCCATGTCGGCTCAGTTTTTTACTGACGTAAATGATTAATCAAATTTGTCGTTTAATTAGTGCTCTTAGCTTATGTGATCTTTGTGAACATAGGAAATATATTTGTATTAAATTACTAATGAGGTTAAATATAAATAAGGTACAGTATTTCACTACAGGTAATATTGTATTATTATGAAGGCAATGTTGTACTTATTTAGATGATTTCTGGGATAACCAATTTATTGCAAAGGATACTGTGGGGAATTATTTATTTTTACACAATACCAGATTACAATAAGACACATTCTTGCTAACTGTATGTGACAAATAAGGATTGTACAGATCTTTGTTTCTTGTATTGGTTGGTAGTTTTATGGTTCTTAATACAGTAGTTGGTATTATTCACTCTCGATGCATAATTAGGCTTCACTTGAACTTGAAGATTAATCGAGACTAATTCAATAGTCATTTCTCTATACATATGATTTGTCATGTTTACCAAACAAATTTGTAATTTTAAAAGCTGTTGTTTGTTTTGCTAGAACTGTCTTGATGTAAGCTGAACACACAATAATTTTGACATATAGAAAAGTCTGCTTAATTACTGTAATTTAAACTTTGTTGCAAGTGTGTCCTTTTTTTTTCCTTTTTCTGTATATTGTTATAAATTATTGCAGTAATGTGTCTGGAGTTAACAATGTCTGTGTTAACCTTCGTTTACAATACTTAGTTCTGGATATTGTCACAAGTCAAGTTTCGTCTGGGTTGCTTTTGTTTTCCCAACAGTCACGCTAGTGGTGTACATGTGTGGCACGGTAACTAGCGCTAGTGGTGTACATGTGTGGCACGGTAACCAGCGCTAGAGGTGTACATGCGTGGCACGGTAACTAGCGCTAGAGGTGTACATGTGTGGCACGGTAACCAGCGCTAGAGGTGTACATGTGTGGCACGGTAACCAGCGCTAGAGGTGTACATGTGTGGCACGGTAACCAGCGCTAGAGGTGTACATGTGTGGCACGGTAACCAGCGCTAGAGGTGTACATGTGTGGCACGGTAACCAGCGCTAGAGGTGTACATGTGTGGCACGGTAACTAGCTAGTGGTGCAACCTGTCCTCTTAAAAAGAACGTCGCTTTTGGCCATTTGCCCGCATGGCCGAAAGTGGACGTAATTTGAAAATGAAAATAAATTTGGGATTTTTTTTTTTTCACCAACAGTAAGTTAAGGGTCCTCTGATAGGTTAGGTGGACAGGAAATTCTCAGTTTCAAAACGTCATGAAAAACATTAATTGAAAGTTTCCTCTTCTAACCTTACCAAGTAGGCTGGACGACTCAAACAAAACGGGACAGTACGTCACTTTTGTGAATCGATTTCGTTTAAAATTACGTCCAAATTTGGCCCTAGCACGCATACAAGCCAAAAGTGACGTTATTTTTAAGAGGATGGGTTGAGTGGTGTACATATGTGGCACGGTAACTAGTTAAGTGTGCATGTGGTACACTAATCATAATAGTAAATTTATTATTGCTGTGAAATATGATGAAATGTTGTTTAACACTGCAGTAGTGTAGAATACAGTATGTGGAAATGGTCAGCATTTAATATGAAGCCTAATGTTGTTATGGGAGTGATGGATGTTAAGAGCTGCAGTTTGATCTTAAGAATGTTTCTTAATCGGTAATTTTCACGTTTAACAATTGACAATGCATAACTACCGAAAATCACTTATATTTATCAGGGTATATTATGCATCATGTAAATAGAAATGATGAATCCCTCCAGTTTTTAAATTATTAAATATAAAGATGTAATTGTGTCATTAACACTTTCCTATATGAGTTTTATGGTCACGTTTAGGTTCCATGAATACTAGTCTTCATAATTCACCATGTAATTAATTGTTATAGTTAATTTTCTACAATGCTAGTAGCAAGAAATAATTTTATATATTTGAATAACATAATATATGCCTATGCAGGTTTAATGCCTCATGTGATGCATTGTCGAGAGAACTGGCGACTGGCAATCACTGTTACATTGTATAATATGTAAATAAAACTATCAATAAAATAGTTTCATATTAAACTTATTCATTATATCACAAAAGACTGCACAAGTTTTACCAAGATAGAAAAAAAAGCCTCTATATATCCATTAAAGCAATTTGTCTCAATATGGTCATTCTATACGTTTACATTTTATCTGGCAATCCTTCAGCTTGGCTGTGTTCTTTCAAAACTTATTATAGCCCTAAAGAAGCTATACCACCAGCACGTATATGGCAGAGAGCATCACACTGCCATTTCGACACTGTTTACACTCTTAACACAATTGGTGCATTTTGTTGACAGTTTCAATAATATTCTGTACTTATGGTCTTGTAACAATCCTCAGCTCATTACACCTTTGTGAGGAGGCCAGGTTCTGACTCTGGTCTTCCAAACAGGACTCCCACGACTGATGTGACCCGGTAGTGAGAAGCTATCTCGCCAAGATAGCTTCAGGGAGCTACCGAGGCTTTACCAGAAAGAGGCGCTTCATTACACTCAATGCTAGTTTTTTCATTATTTGTACTTGTGCTGTAAGTACTTCAGATAATGCATATATGTTACTTAAATGGGTGTCCACCCCATCTTATCCAAACTATAGAGTAATTACTGTATTACTGTATATAGTGAGCAGGCACTGTCATTACATGATTAATCACATCTCAAATGTGTAATAATATGCACATTAATCATTATCAAATACAATTATGCCTATGAAGTCTCTACGTTGTCATCAAAATGATACAAAGAACTGTGTAACAATTTTTTAGCATATTCATATCCAATGGAGTGGTCTTTACATTCCCATTGGTTTCATTCAACTAAGTGAGATCAGCATTCTACAAGTAGGAATAACATATTGCCAACCTTGCTCATGATGTTGGCATTGTATGATGGGATTTGTTTATAAAAGTACTACAGAACAATAACCGAGTGTTTTATATTTAATTCTACTTAATCTAATACATTGTCTACAATGTAACAACTATGCCAAAATGATGCTAAGTTTTCTAAAGTGCTGTAGTGGAACCTTGTATGATCTTTATGTTTAAGGAGTCACACGATGAGTACACACTCGTCCGTTCATCTTTGCCTTCTAACTGCTGTTGACAGTTTGGGCACATCCTGGATTCTACTAAGGTATCAACACACTTGCTCACATGAACAATTTCATCTGATAGAGTGGCCAGAGCTTCTTTTATCTGCACATTGTTTTCTTGTCGTGCATCTACATCCCACACAAGTAAGTCTAGACCAAAACGTAGGGCATCAATGCTTTTCTGCATATCTCCATCTGCATCACTAGAGTACTGCGCAGACTTGCTCAAATTTCGAAAATTAGCAAATGCATTCCTGCGACGTGAGGCACGATCTCTAGCCCGAGCAGTGTTAAGTATAACTTCAACAAGTTCTTGAGGAAGGCCAGTGTCTTGAAGCATCTTGGGAGAAAGCACTAAAGTCTTCCCATACAAAGAGGGACACAGAAGAATACTGCGGTGTAGGAAACTAAGAATTCCTTTTGGCATAGCCCATGCAAACCACTTGCTAAACATGAAGGACTCAAAATGTGCAATCAACTCTGTCTGGCGCACCAGACGATCCAAACCAGCTGATTTCTGAAGACCTTGGATATCGGAGACAGCCAAGCCAACAAGTAAATTCATTAGTATTATTGTTACAAATATTAAGAAAATAACAAATATTATGTGAGATGTTCCAGGGTACATGATAGTTTTATCATCATTGAAAAACCATGTATCATATTCAATTTCTCCTGTCATCATGACTAATGTTTTTACAAGTCTTAGGGCATACAGTCTGAAGGGAGGGTGATTTGGAAAGAGAACACCAAAACTTAGGGAAAATGCATTAATAAGGGAAATATAAGCAAATAAAAACTTTCCAAAGTTTTTTGTAACATGAGTGAACATCTGTACATATAAGCCAAAGACTGGAAAGCGGCCAATGAGCAACAGCAACTCCACCCAACCGATTAGGATGACAACAGCTGCCAAGTGATGCTCCCAGTCTTCTGTATCTTCACGGACATAAGAGGTAACTGTAATAGTCATTGTGAATATAATTACTGGCCACACAAGAACATTATCCCAAGAAGAGAAGTATGTCTTAGGAGAGTCAATTACTTGAAAAATCTCTTTCACTGCTAGTATACTTGTTCCTATCCATATAAAATAAAGAGGATAAGCAAGTAAATCTTCATATTTCAATCCACATTTTTCTCTCTCTGATAATTTCAATGTGAGTGTGGGTAAAATGGTGATAGAATTTTCCGATTGTTTCAAACCACCATCTGTATAGTGTGAGGAGTGTACAGTGTCGTGATGGGGTTGTGTTGCTGCAGGTGCGCAGTTTTCCTTGTAGGTGATGTGTGGTGTTCATTGGGGGATGCCGAGGCGGTAAACTGGAAAGGCGTGAATGTTGTTTCTTGTGTGGTAGAGTTGAGACGAAGGCATGAAGCTGCAGGGAATATTATGATGATATAGCAGGTCAACATGGCCACCAGCAGTGCATAAAACACAAGGTTGAAGATGAAGAAGCTGCGGATCCTGAGCCACTTCAGGAAGAGTAGTGTTTCACAAAGTGGATGCTTAAGAAGAGGTTTCTGACCTTCCTGAATAAAACAGGAGAGCATTCGACACTCCAGACTGTCCTTATCACCTGGCACCAGAATATGGAAATCTATTTGCACCTGAAAACAAAATAAAAGAGCATTTTTCTGATTGAAAGTATTGTAGCATGTTAAATTTTCCTGTCAGCTAAGTTAGTCTAAATTAGGTTACAGAATTATTTTTATGTAATTAATGGTAAATATAACATTCATTCATATAGAGGAAGTTTGATAAGTGATGATGAACTTCACCTTCTAACAGAGGTTTATAAAACTCGCTGGTATTCGAGCTAAAATAGCTGATTATGGTACGTGCTATCCTAGCAAGGGCATATTATTATCTGTATAAATATAATCTGACTATTGAAATTGGCAAGTACCAAGAATCTTTTATGTAATGACCACGACAAAAAATTTAAAATTGGCACGAAACTCCCATATTTTTCCCTAAAATTCAAATTACACTATATACCATTCACTAACTAATGGCAATATAGCATTAAGTAATTATAAAAAATTATATAACAGTAGTTCTGATACTTTCCATTTATAATTATAGCATCCAGTATCCTTTGTGACTTCCCAAATATCTAGATTTTCAAACCACATACTGTGCACAATCTCAATGAGCTATTGAGATCCTAGACATGACTCTGTATAGGTAACTCTTGATTTGGTTCAAATGCAGAAATTAATCATGCCACTCTTCCTCCTGCAGACAAATACAGTAACTGCATTCCATGATAAAGTAATATGCAGCCGCTAATCTTCCTTAAAGATTCCTCCTATCTCCTTAAGGAGATCTAAGGAACAGTATCTGGCATGTGGTTGAGGAGCAGGAACAGTGTCTGGCATGTGGTTGAGGAGCAGGAACAGTGTCTGGCATGTGGCTGAGGAGCAGGAACAGTGTCTGGCATGTGGTTGAGGAGCAGGAACAGTGTCTGGCATGTGGTTGAGGAGCAGGAACAGTGCCTGGTATTTGGGTAAGGAGCAGGAAGAGTTTGGTAGGTCACTATTATGTGCTGGTGGTGTGACCAATGAGAAGTGGCCAGTTACTTCATAGTTGAGTCACTATTACAAACCATTGTTTGGTTCAATAACTCTTTAAGCTTTAATGCTATTGAATTGATTTTTTGACGATGGAAATTGTTATACGAGAAGTAATAAAAAATATGCATTTTCTCAAACTTGAATGTATATTGTATACTGTTCATTGATAAGGTTCAAACTGTCTTTGTTCATACTGAAGAAGAATTAAATAGTAATGAAGATTACTATTATTTTTAGAATTTATGCTGAAAATATCATGACCATCATGTGGTCAGGTGCAGCTATACGCACATGCTGCATGCAAGCAGGTGCAGAGGACTTGAGTAATTAATATGTGTGATCATATTAACAGGAAACTGGTGTTGCTTGAGAAGGAAGAATATAAAATAAGATGAATACATTTTAGTATTTGGGACAATTTTGCCATTGACAGAATAAAGTAAACCATGATTTAAAATACACATTTTAAAGGCAAACAACTAATTCAAATCTATGATGATAGGTAAAAATATGCATAAGTAAATATGCTTTTCTGTATTGAAGAAAGCAGTTGAGTAATGTTAAAAATATCAGTTTGTAACTAAACCTGATTGAAAAATAAGGGTTTAATTTTAAGTGAAATCTTTAACTTAAACGTCTTCCCTTCAAGAGTACAATATCAAAGATGACCTATAATTGTCAGTAAGAAGACACATAATTGTGAGCAACCAGATGCATGGCATATTGAAAGACAAGAACTGACCTAGAGGGAGGTACCCAACTATAGTTTTTAGGTGCTTGTAAGTCAGTGGGACCAAGCAAGAGAGGAAAGTGAACATAACTCATGATACACAGGTACTGAGACAGTCTCATGGACGACAAAGTAATTTTGAAATATATTTGATTACATATGTTCATTTTCAACAATAATGAGAATGTCAAGTTGTTGTTAATGTAATGTGAAGGTGAAGTTCATTTGTGCACAACCTTCTGAAAGACTTGAGGGTGCTGATTCTTAGCCTACCTGTGAGTCTCTCTCATGTTGCTCATAATCGCTGAAAGAAATGGCAGCATCAAGGTTCTCGTGGATGTGAGTGATGACCGTAGGTGTTCGTTGCAGGATCAGGTGGAGGGCCGAGATTCCTCCGCGGGTGCATGCCGTCACATCCCCACCATGATCCAAGAACAGCAACACACAATAGGAAGAGTCATGCAGTGCTGCCATGTGTAAGGGAGTATATCCCAACTGGTCTGCTGCATTGGTGTCGGCTCCAGCCTCCAGCAGAAGTCGCAGGCATTCATGGGATCTTGACCCTTTGAAGATCCCGCTGTGAAGTGGTGTTTTAAGATCACAGTCATGGGCATTGGGATTAGCACCAAAGCTCAGCAACAGTTGTACAGTGTCGTAACTTTGAGCCTTTGCAGCTAAGTGAAGGGGTGTTTGTCGTCTGAGGTTTTCCTGGTTTGGATTAGCACCAGCTTTTAACAACTGATGAGCAACTTTGCAATAACCTTCGTGGGCAGCAATATGAAGTGATGTCATTTTGGAATTTCCCTTTGAAGCCTTAACATCAGCCCCAGAACTTAGAAGTATATCCACTATATCAGATAGCCCTTCACAAACTGCAATATGGAGGGGTGTCTCACTATAAAGGAGAGTGGGATTGACTGTTGCACCAGCATTGATAAGGAACTGAATACAGTCAATGGATGCTGCTCGGACTGCATGATGCAGAGCCGTCTCTCCACTTGTATTAAGTCCAGCATTTAAATTGGCACCTGCTGCCAACAGTGCCTCAAGGCCCCCCACACATCCTCTGCGAGCAGCCAACATTAGGGGGGTAAGCTCCTCATTGCCATCCCACTCCCTGGGACCACCTACCCGAGCCCCACCTTCAAGCAGCACCCGCAGCACTTCCTCAGAACCACTTTCTGCTGCTAGGTGTAAAGCACTGAAACCTGCATTGTCTCGAGCCTCCACATTTGCTCCTTCTTCCAGTAATGTTTGCACTAGGTCAGCAGCACCATGTAGACATGCCCACAGCAAACATACATCCAATCTCACTCGTGTCTTGCTCTCCTTAGCCATTGTTATGGCTTCAGAAATTTTGTTAGCCTCTAGCAAGTTGAGAATTACCAGCGGCTGGTTCTTTGTCACTAGGTAGGATCTGAGGGCATTAATACGATGCTCATGACTGGCCTGAGAGTTCCATCTTAAATGGTCCAGCAGAGAATCCTCTAGGTTCGTGTTTTTTTCAATGTTGTCTTCAGTGGTATCAGAGGCTGGGCTGATGTCTCGCTGTGTCTGTGAGCGCCACTGCTTACGTCGCTTGGTCATCAGGGCACTAACTCGCCGTCGGGACCTGTGTCTGGACGACATTGAAAGCATTATTTTTTTTAATTTAATGGTTATCAACTCTCTGATGCCAGAGACATCTCCCAAGTGTACAACAAACGTTTAAACTCGTCGTTTATCATATTTCTGCATAGTAAACCATTTTCTCTTACATATCCAAGCTAATAGTAGAAACCTGACAATGTTAATGATAATCTTATAGTCATACTTTAAAAAATAATGCATAGATTAACATCTATTTCTATAAATAGAAATATCTGCCCATGACTCTGTCTGAGGTTTGAGGTCAGTCGCTTAGGGGTAACCCAATTAAACCTTGCAGGATTAAAACGTGCAGTATTAATGGGGATTTTATAGGGAATGTCGTAGAGGGGTCGGGTTATAAGATCCACATGCATCCAACAACACCTGTGGCATATTTTTACATTGTGATTACTTTGTGGTAATTCCGAGGATCAACATCCCTGTTGACCAGTCTCTGACCAGGTCTCATGGCTGGTGGTCTGGTCAACTAGGCTGTTAGATGTGGCTGCTTGCAGCCTGACATACAAATCACAGCCTTTTTTTATAATAATTAAAACTACTCATTTAAAATTAAATATTATGACATAAAAGTAATATAAAATTAAATATAATAATACAGTAGTTTAATTAATATTTTTTTTTTAGTAAGTACAAAAAGAAAATTATATATTTGCCCACCAGAAATGATCTGGTGGGCATTACTGGTGCAAGAACTGAACCCTGTGGTACTCCACTTATGACAGTTCTACAGTCTGATACATTGCCTCTGATTACTGCCTTCGTTTTTATCAGAAAATTTTGTTCATGTCAGAAGTCTTCCTGTCACCCCTCTAGCATGTTGCCATTTCTAGAACAACCTCTTATGTGGGACTCTGTTGATAGCCTTTTTAGGTTGAGATAAATATTATCAACCTAACCATCTCTTTTTACTGGATAAACTCTGAGGTTCTATCATAAACCCTAAGTAGAGTTGTTACAAAGAATCTTCCCATTTGAAAACCATAATGTATGTCTGTTATATAATTTTTCTCCAGGTATGTGTGTGTAAATTGTGAAAAAATTTACACAATGAATAATGTGAAAATAAATAACCATGAAGGGGAAAATGAACCAAGAAATTACTTGAGTGCTTTTGTGTAAATCAATAAATATACTGTATAGGCAAGAAAAAGGTGGTTACATGTGAGGTGAGAAAAAATTAACCCATATTATAAAGACATTATTTTTTTTTCACCTCATGTCTTCCTTTTTCCTGCCTTAAGGTTGTACCTTGCCACAACATTAAGAGTCCTGAGCCTGCCTCTCTCTACACTTATGACCAAGTCATAACTTATGACTTGGTCATAAGTTATGACTAAGTCTGGTTACAACGTGGCGATAAAGAGAGACCTCAAGGTCAATATATATTTGACTCTACAGTATTTGCATAGTCAAGTAGAATTATCATGCAATTGTATCTTGTCAACAGCTGTTCCTCTCTGCGTGGGTGCCAATTCAGAATCTTTATTTTCTTAATAGAGATGACCAAGCCTAGGTTCTGACAAGTTTAAGGAAGAGAATATTTAGTTTAATAGTGGCATTTATACTCACTCTGGGTCATGGATGTGTACCTCACCATCTTCAAAGATGTTATCCAGGAGATAGTGGCTCTTGGGTCTGCCATCATCATCAGCCTCGTCAACTGTCACAAAGGAGTCTTGCTTGTCCTGTAACGAGCTGCAATAAACCATTTTACTCGCCACCAGCCAACACACTACACTCGCCACCAGCCAACACACTACACTCGCCACCGGACAACACACCACACTCGCCACCAGCCAACACACTACACTCGCCACCGGACAACACACTACACTCGCCACCGGACAACACACCACACTCGCCACCGGTCAACACACCACACTCGCCACCGGTCAACACACTACACTCGCCACCGGACAACACACCACACTCGCCACCAGCCAACACACTACACTCGCCACCGGACAACACACCACACTCGCCACCGGACAACACACCACACTCGCCACCGGACAACACACCACACTCGCCACCGGACAACACACTACACTCGCCACCAGCCAACACACTACACTCGCCACCAGCCAACACACTACACTCGCCACCAGCCAACACACTACACTCGCCACCAGCCAACACACTACACTCGCCACCGGACAACACACTACACTCGCCACCGGACAACACACTACACTCGCCACCGGACAACACACTACACTCGCCACCAGCCAACACACTACACTCGCCACCGGACAACACACTACACTCGCCACCGGACAACACACTACACTCGCCACCAGCCAACACACTACACTCGCCACCGGACAACACACTACACTCGCCACCAGACAACACACTACACTCGCCACCAGCCAACACACTACACTCGCCACCAGCCAACACACTACACTCGCCACCAGCCAACACACTACACTCGCCACCGGTCAACACACTACACTCGCCACCAGCCAACACACTACACTCGCCACCGGACAACACACTACACTCGCCACCAGCCAACACACTACACTCGCCACCAGCCAACACACTACACTCGCCACCAGCCAACACACTACACTCGCCACCAGCCAACACACTACACTCGCCACCGGACAACACACTACACTCGCCACCGGCCAACACACTACACTCGCCACCAGACAACACACTACACTCCCCACCAGCCAACACACTACACTCGCCACCGGTCAACACACTACACTCGCCACCAGCCAACACACTACACTCGCCACCAGCCAACACACTACACTCGCCACCGGACAACACACTACACTCGCCACCGGACAACACACTACACTCACTACTGGACAACACTACACTCGCCACCGGACAACACACTACACTCGCCACCGGACAACACACTACACTCGCCACCAGCCAACACACTACACTCGCCACCGGACAACACACTACACTCACTACTGGACAACACACTACACTCACCATCAGACAACACACATTACACTCACCATCAGACAACACACATTACACTCACCACCAGGCAACACTCCATGCACTCACCACCAGGCAACACTCCATGCACTTACCACCAAGCAACATTCTCTACACACTCTAGATTAGTCGCTAATCTATCACTATCTTACATAGTGTATGTGCATGGGATTCAACCACTGCAAATTACCTTAAGCCTATCATCACCCAGCAAAAATCTGCCATCAGAACTACAACAAACTGTCTTCAGAAAACACACCAACCCTATGTTTAAATCTCTATACTGTACACAGGAACCTTGGTACTCGAACAGCTCCCAACCTGAACATTTTGGCACTCGGAAGCTGTGTTCTTGTTCGGTACTTGTCCGTTTGCTCGGCACTCGCCCATAATCATGCGTCCCTAATGAGTCAGTTTTGCCACAGCTGTCATTCAGTGCACAACACCATTAGACTTCTTTAAACTTTCTCGTGTTTATTTGTATATTTGCTATATTTTTAGTGTAAATATGTCACCATGGCACCTAAGAAAGTTAGTGATAAGGGCCAAGCAAAAGGAAAATTAATTAGAACCATGATTGAAATTAAGAAAAAAAAACTCATAGCAAAATGTGAAAGTGGTGCCCGAATGTCTGCTCTTGCTACCGACTTTGATATGCCTAAATCTAGTTATCTAATAAAAGAAATGTGTGCAAAGTGGGAGGGAAGTGCAAAGTTTTCTTGAAAAATACAACTCTTGACAAAGCTGTGATGATGGTAGAGGACTTCCCTGCCAAAGGATAACATCTCTCTTCCTCTGCCTCGCCACCTTCCGCATATACCTTCAGCTCTCCTAAGTGTTGAAGGCATATGCGTATATGGTAAACTGTGTTTGCATTTATTTAATTTATTTATTGAATTAATATACAGTACTTTTTGTAGTCTGGAATGGATTAATCCAATTTACTTTATTCCTTATGGGGACATTTTTTCAGTACCCAAACAGATCAACACTCAATCGGCCTTCAGGAACCAATTATTTAAGTTTGGGTACCGAGCTTCTACTGTACATGCTAAACATGCACCACACACATTCTCTTGGTATTAATATCCCCAGTCAGACTAAATCTGTGCAAACACTGCATGCAAATAAAAGGACCTAGTCTATGGAACTCGCTCTCTACCGAGTTAACAAATTGTCTAACCTATACTTTATTAAAAAATAAAACCAAAAAGTACTTAATTTTATTCTAATAAGTTTCCTACCTTGCACTTCAAACTCTGTATCTTGTGTTACCCACTCCCCTAATTTTAGTCTTTAAGACATGCAACTTCACCTATGTAATCAATACCATGCAACTTCACCTATGTAATCAATACCATGCAACTTCACCTATGTAATCAATACCATGCAACTTCACCTATGTAATCAATACCATCAATTTATACTGCAGTTATTATGCTGTTCTCAAATTTTGCTACACTGCATCTATTAATAATCTTAACTTTATTTGTTAGCTTAAGGCCCTGTCCAAAATGCTATGCGTGTTAGTGGCTTTGCAAGAATGTAAGAACACCAATATTATGTGACCTCTCACTCGCACAATGTACCTTCTTGTATATAAATAAATAAATAAAACTTAATATGTATTAAAACAAGTGGCCATGTGTAAGTAATGTTATGCATGATTTTTATCCCAAAGTTTTACATAAAATATAAAAAATATTAACATAGAATAGCTGGATTTAGCCTTAATAACAGAAAAACAGACACTACACCAGTCTGAGTGTAATGTAGCATTACACTCACTAGTAACTAGTGAGTGTAATGCTTAATGTAACATTAAGCATAATAAAAGACCTGAACACTGACCTGTGCTGCTTAGTTTTGATCCACCTCTTAATGCGTAGACTGCGCGAGAGTGTTGCAGGCCTCCTGCCGCTGCCGTCGCTAAGCACCCGCTGTCGTATTGGCTGACGTAGTCGTTTTTCAGAGCTGGGGGACCACGACAAGCAGTTGCTCACCCTCGAATGCTGTTTCACACTCGTCGTTTTGGGCCCCTTATTAGTAGCCATGTCCTGGTACTCCTTGGTGCCCATCACTTGGTACCCTTTAATGTTACCCATTCCATGGTGCCTCTTGAGGCCCATTGCTGGGTGCCCCTTGATGCCAATCGCCTGGTGCTCTTTGATGCATATTCCAGTATTTGTCACCCCATTGACATGTCGAGGACTGCCGCGGGATGGGCTCCCAGCCACCGGGCTAGAGGAGTTTTTCTTTGCATGAGTAATGACACCATCCTGGGGCGCAGATTGTGTTGCAGAAACTACACGTCGAGATGAACGCTGCTGCTGCTGGGAAGCGTCATTGCACACATTGACCAATGGAGTTTTAAGGCGAGAGTCATACTTACCCTCCACACCACAAGGGTGAGCAATGACCGAGCTGGGTGGAGGGCAAGGTGTGTTGGAGCAGGAGAGATCGAGACAGGATCGAGAATGATGTCGAGGGGGATCCACACCTAAACCTGTTGACATACATTCTATCCCATATCAAAAAATAACACATGAATAAAATAAAAATGTTGCCACTGCAGATGATACTTTGCATTGATTATACATTTTATGCAAGTAAGAGAGCAAAGTGTTATTACAGCTGTTTATTTGCTTTATGAAATTGTCAGAAAATAATATTTACTAATATTTATTGCGAATATATTCCTTAAGTTATAAAACAAAAATATTGTAGGTCTACTATAGCTTATCAGCAACTTAAATGTTGCCTAATCTTTAATACATTAGGACCAAAGTGAGCTTAGGTTGTCAATAAACCTTAATAAATAAAATTATAGATGGGTACTGAAACACAGTAATAACCATCAATATATATTCTCAATAAATTACAAGATAAAATTTTATATGAGAGAACCAATACCAGGTTGGGAAGAGGGTAATGTTGGCAGCAGGAGGAGAGAAGTGAACTCTCCTCCTGCTTGTTGTTCTGGAGGAGAGAAGTGAACTCTCCTGCTTGTTGTTCTGGAGGAGAGAAGTGAACTCTCCTGCTTGTTGTTCTGGAGGAGAGAAGTGAACTCTCCTCCTGCTTGTTGTTCTGGAGGAGAGAAGTGAACTCTCCTGCTTGTTGTTCTGGAGGAGAGAAGTGAACTCTCCTTCTGCTTGTTGTTCTGGAGGAGAGAAGTGAACTCTCCTTCTGCTTGTTATTCTGGAGGAGAGAAGTGAACTCTCCTGCTTGTTGTTCTGGAGGAGAGAAGTGAACTCTCCTCCTGCTTGTTGTTCTGTAGGAGAGAAGTGAACTCTCCAAAACAAGTTGTGAACAATGAAAGTATCTGGCAGCCAAGCTTGTACTGTACAGCCAACGTTAAGTTTAGTGAAAGGCATTTAATGATGTGTCTCGGCTGGCCAGCCATAGGCCAATAGCAGGCATCCCTGTACCAATTAAATCTGGGCATGGCCATAGACAGATGTATTTGCTCTTGACTTGTGTATGCATTGTGGAGTAGGTTTTGAACAGTCAAGGTTATAGTGTTCAGCAGGTTACTACAGTCCCTATCCCATGTAATAAAAGTTACATGGTTCAAGAACCAAGTTGGTCAGTGAATCATGCAGCCTGAGTTATGAAAACTGTAAACTACAGTCACACTGATGCTTTTATCAGGGTCCTCAGGCAAGGCAGAGGGTCCAGTCCAGCTAAGTTGACAAATGGCATCAACTTAAACAAAGATAAATGGGTATGTAGAGGTATGGTTTTATCAAGTGAGTCCAGTAAGCCAGTATGGGGAAGATGCATAGGTTGGGTGTGTAGTGTCAGCATGAATGGGTGTTGGCCTGCTGGCAGATCTAGAAGCAGGAGTTAACTAATTGTGAATGCCAACATTTATCCTAGGCTTCATTACTTTCCCCATTAGGTGTTGCATGACACAGATTCTGGGTGGGAGAGGATGTGAAATGCCAAAATCCTCCAAAAGTATGGAGCCATGATCTAGGGCCATGTCGATGAGCTGGAGCACCATAGGCAAAGGTTGCAATTATAGAAGTTTGGCATCATGGTGATGAGTTTCAGGAACCAACATGTAATCTAATGTGGTCAATGTTGATAGTTATTCTAACCCCACTGCATGGCCAATGGCCAGGCTTTTCTGGTAATGACAAGATCAATGAGGCAATTGCTCACAGTGGTCCACATGCCCACATAGCCATCACAACCCAGCTGGTCTGACACTGCCTACAGAAACCTAGCAAACTCTCATACAACCCAACATTTATCCTGGAAATATTCCTTGCATTTAATAATAATAATAATAATAATATTTTATTCAGGAAAAGTACATACATAGAGGCAGAGTTACAAACATACTGTTGGATTTATAGATAGAGCAAGTACATATAATACCTAAAGCCACTAATACGCACAGTGTTTCGAGCAAGGTGTGGAAGAAAAAACACTTACACTAAAACTTAATAGTAATTGGGAGTAAAGCATAAATTGTGTTGAAAAAATTAATAAAAAAAAGGGGGGATCATGGCAAAAATCAGTAATTATACAAGTTGGTCAACAAACAGCATTGTTTAGAATAGAAAGACATAGGTTGACATTTACGGGGTAAGGTAGGTTACATTGAGTTAATTAGGTTATCTTCTTGAGGTTATCTTGAGATGCTTTCGGGGCTTTAGTGTCCCCGCGGCCCGGTCCTCGACCAAGCCTCCACCCCCAGGAAGTAGCCCGTGACAGCTAACTAACTCCCAGGTACCTATTTACTGCTAGGTAACAGGGGCATAGGGTGAAAGAAACTTTTGCCCATTTGTTTCTGCCTCGTGCGGGAATCGAACCCGCACCACAGAATTACGAGTCCTGCGCGCTATCCACCAGGCTACGAGGCCCCCCCCCCAGTTCTTTTTAAAGGTACTTAGTTCTACTCCTAAACTGGCTGCTGAATTTGAATTTGCTAAATTTGCTTTTAGGCTAAAAAGCCATAGGCCTCTGATGATCCGACTAAGTTCACTGAATGGGCATATAACACCTATGTCTTCATTGGAACTATTCTACACTTCCTCCCATATATTTGTCTCTAATAAGTTATTTTATTGCACAAATTGTTCCAATGAGGTCCAGGTGGTGGAGGATCCCATCATTCCAAGCCCCATGTATTCACCTGGTTGTATTCACCTTGTTGTACTTGCAGGGGTTGAGCTCTGCTCTTTTGGCCCGCCTCTCAACTGTCAATCAATCAATTGTTACTAACTATTAATTCCCCCCCCCCCATACATGTACACACAAATCCCCAGGAAGCAGCCCATAACAGCTGTCAAACTCCCAGGTGCCTATTTACTGCTAGATAACAGGGGCATCAGGGTGATAAAACTCTGCCCATTTTGTTTCTGCCATCACCGGGGATCAAACCCGGATCCTAGGATTATGAGTCCAGAGCGCTGTCCACTCAACTATCAGGCCGCCATATGTAACTGCTGTGCTGTTGTTATGAAAACATATTTGCCTATTACAGTCAAAATTTGATATTTTTGTATTTTTGTGTATATCAGTGAATAATATTTTACTGCATTTGCAAGAATACTAATTTTTACTTTTTTATAACATTTTAAAAGTCCAGCTGATCCCAAAATCGCCTGGAGGTTCACAAGGTTTCCTATGGCACAGTTCCAATTGATTGTTGGGGACACTGATCCATGCCCAAGTTGGGCATAGATCCCACAGCAGCCATGTTGGAAAATTGGGTGAGGCTAGCCATAAGTGTTTGGCCTCCAACCTTGAACAAACATTCTAATTTATTGATATAGATGTGATAACTGTGTTTATTTAATTACATTCTGAATGTTTTAAGATGGTCCCATTAATTCAAGTGTTTTACTCTGTGCAGTCTCGAGGCACCTTATACTTTAGATATCTTTCCTACTTTGAAAGGGGTGGTGAATACAAAGCAGGATAGCATGGATAGCTATCCAAGTAGGATAGCACACGTAACAACGGTAGTAGCTTGGAGAACTGTACAAAAGTTGGGACAAGAGACGCTGTTGATGATGGAGTTCCCCGTCCCCTTGAATTGTTGCCTGGAAGTGAATTGTGTAATGTTGTCAAAGTGCGTGGAGAGTAGACGTCGCCGTTGATGGCTTTGTTGCTAACCCCCTGCTTTGTAACTATTATTAACCATCAGGAGAAAGCGCCAAGCCATTTCGACTATATAGCACTGGGAAGGGGTCAGGATAAGGATTTGGGTTGGGACAGGGGAAAGAAATGGTGTCCAACCACTTGGACGGTCGGGGATTGAACGCCGACCTGCATGAAGCAAAACCGTTGCTCTACCGTCCAGCCCAAGTGGTTAAAGTGACCCCTGCTTTATTGGTGCCCTGAGCACGTGGTTAGTCTATCATCCAAACACCTGTGACCGGAGATGGGGTAAACCCATAGGCTGAAAAACTACTCTATTGCAACGAGGAAACGTCCCAGTCACTAACAAGTACCAAGAAACAAAGCCATCAATATGAATTTCCCTGTGAATCCTCTCGTTGATTGGTGACTTTTCTTTGCTGCACAGGAGTAGGTCCTCCTCGGCTGCTCCTCATATCGTCGTCAGTCAACCCGTCCTCCTTATAGCAAGTTGCATTTTGATGTATACTTTAAAGGCCAGAAACTGGGGTACAAGAAAATGGCAGCGGCTCGCGAAATTGACATACGGTCCCGTTTTCTGTTTTGGGTTCTCTGGTTGGTTAAGTTAGAACACTTTATTACGACAGTTTCTTGACAATTAGGAACGCTTGCGTGAACCGACTGCTTCACTAATCTTGCTGTCCTGTGCACTGTCACTATGCTTACAAAACAAGTCACAAACAAAAGGCTTAACAATCCTTGGCTTACAAAGGGAATACTTAAATCCATTAACAAAAAACATGACCTTGAGAAGAAGTATAGGTTAGGAACCGTCTCCAAAGAATTCTCAAAGAATTACTCGTTATTGCTATCTAAAATAATTAGACGAGCCAAAACTAAATACTATGAAGATAAATTTACCCAAATAAAGAGCAACATTAAAATAACTAGGAGCACAATTTCACAAATATTGGGATCAAAGAAGATTTTAAATAAACCAACACTCCTGTCCAATAACGTTGGTCAGCTTTCAGCCTCTGATTCTGCTATTGAGTTCAATAGGTTCTTCTCATCCATTGGGTCATCCCTTGCAAATGATATTCCATCTTCCAGTACTGATGTTAAGGACTATCTTACAGGTAACTATCCACAGTCTCTGTACCTAAAGCCTACTAATTCCACTGATGTCAATGAGATAATCATTTCCCTTAAAACCAAGTCTAGTGCCCTCGAGGAGATACCAACTTTGATTTACAAAAAGCCTCCAGATCTTTAGCCCCTGCTATTGCATTGCTCTTCAACAAGTCACTTGAACTCCAAACCTTTCCAGACATTCTAAAAAAAAGCGAGAGTAACCCCTGTCCACAAATGTGGTGATCTCACAGATGTTAACAACTACAGACCTATATC